AGTTTTGAGGACCGTTGGTCCTCTTTGTTTGTTTCATCCTCTTTTTCCTTTCACTTGAAAGGGGAGTTTGATCTCTTTTTTAGATTTTCCTTTCTCTTTGCTTGACTGGACTGTTTTTACATAGCTCAGTAATAAAAGAGTTAAAGAGCAGGAAAAACAATGCCTTACATCAGCTATTCTCAGAATTCTGCACATCATTTGAACATGATCGTCATACCTGACTTCCCCAACTTTCACAGCAACACTAACTATGGGAGAAAGCTGTCCTAGAAATTAGCCTTTCTTGCAGAAGGGGAGGACTGCTGGTGTCATTCATGCCTTTCTCAGCTGAGCTCCTCCCAGGGAGGGTGTCAGCCCTAACCCCAGGACATTGGCTTTCAAATCACATCACTCTTCAGCCCATTCCTCATTCATAACCGAGCTTCAGATCCCTCTCTCTGTGTGCACACACTATGATGGCCCTAAACAATGACCAGGATTTCTCAAGGTGCTCTTCAGTATAAATATCCTGACCTGAGAGAGCTTGGAGCTCTGTTATTGTGTTTGACACCAAGCCCCTCGAGATCCATCTCCATGTTTATTCCCAAGGTCCACTTTGCTTTCTTGCCTCAGCTCTGTTATCTGTGTGTCTCTTGGCTTCACCCCTGGCTTTTAACTTGACTGAACCTCATGTCTCCTGATCAGCCCTTGCGCTTGGCTACAGTGTCTCCCCAGTTACAACCCTCGCTTGTTTTGCATTATGACCCTGGACTGTTGTTACCAGCATCCTACAGGTCTACCAGTCAACCACGACCCAGGAAATTCCATGTGAGCTGTGACCTGTGGCTGACCTGAGAGCAGCCCCTGACACATCATGATCCTCTGATGAAACTGTCAAATTCTTTCCTAGACTGTCTGCTGGTCGTCACCCAGTTGGATCTGCTTCAACACCATGACTGGATAGTTGGTTTGTCATGGAAATATAACTATCAAGGAAGCCACAAGAGAGAATTCTCACCTGAGTAAGGTCTTTATTTCAATATTGCAATATTGGGAGCCCTGCTCCCACTTCGCAAAGTGCAACCAGAGACTCAATTTGTTACAAGCAGTACAGGGTTTTTATAAGACGTTGCGCTGTAAAAAAGTTCAGCACTTGGTCCCTTCTAAAACTTCCCCTTTCTCTAAGAGAAAACAGATTACATCATAGAGCGTGAGAAGAAAAACTAGATTTGTTATTCAAAGCTTATCAGTTACTTTCAGCTAATTCTAATGACCCAGACAGCATATATTGTTTTGGTACATTGTCTTCTAAACTAACCTAAACAGTGTACTTTGTTGACGAACTGTTTTCTAAAATTCTGCACGCACTGTAGCACAGCAGTTACATCCTTGAAATATATTATCTAAAAGCACCAATATATTTTTTTCAAAGCTCTCTACATTTTTAAGAATCAATTTACTTATTAGATTTCCACTTCAGGTTATAGACCCAAAGTCCAGTGGGGTTAAAGGGTTTGTTACAACCTGATGGATCCTAATGACTGTGCAGTAGCTCCATTTTATTTTACTTTCACCTGAGAGAAATCTGAAACTGAAAGCATTTATTTGTGATACTTGGTCAGGAAGAATCTCTATTTCTCTGTCTCTCATTTGTCTTCGATGTTTGGGCTCTTGTGCAGAAGCCAGGTGTTTGGTGTCTCTTACCCTCCTGGCCACCTCACACACCTGCTGAAAGGGTGCCTGTTTGTAAATGGGGCAGATTGCCCTTTAACACAAGATCAGGCTGCGGGTTTTAAAAGTGAAAGTCTGGGAGGATGAAAGGCGCTGGAGTGTAACGCTCTGTTAAGCTCACGCAGTTCCCCCAGCGCAGCAGGAGGCAGCCTGAGAGGCAGAGCTGGGGGAGATGAGCAGGGTTTCAGCTCAGGGCTGTGAGGGGAGGCAGGTGAAGGCATCAACCATCTGGCTGTGTGGTTTCTCTCTGCTGCTGCCCTGAAACTGACTGTCAGGCTGCTGCTCTGTGATTGCAATCGCAGTCTTCTCCTGTGATTGTCTCTTTACTACTGTTCTGTGATTGTCGTTCTTCCTTCGTTCTGTGGTTCTGCCAAAAGCAAAACAGACTGAATTAAACGTATAGTTTCAAATCTAATTTAAAGGTGATTTAAAACAAATTAAGCTGGATTTCATGGGCTTGTTAGCACCAGTGTTGAGTCGTCTATCTGTGAAATACCATGTTGGCACTGAATATTATTCTTTCTTACTTTTTGCAAAAATATGAAATGAACTAACACATATGGAACTGTCAATGCCAAGTGATTGTATGAAGTGTGTCTATTGTGAGGAGGAACATTCAGCATATCGTATTGTATATTAAATAAACATTGTGTATCATATATCATATCTTTCTGGTTTATAGAAAAATGAGCACTTTGTAATAAGCCAAAGATTTTATCAGATTTTAGTTTTTAAATTTAAAGGTTTCTTAGATGAGAGTTAACTTTTGTTTTTCTTTATTTTAAAAGTATAATATATATCTGACTATATTGCAAATTTGTCCTCACAGCTCTCAGGTCCTAGGATGCCTTCTGCATGGAGTCTGGATGTTCTCACTCTGATCAAGATTAAGATTTTTCCTTGTGCTCCAGTTTCTTCCCACCTTCCAGCCCTGGGATAATCGATGTTTCCAAGTCTCCAGTGTATTAAAGTTCTCTAGACATCTGGACTAGACTCTGGACCAGGAATAAGAGAATAAAGGACTTTCTGATGATGGATGGACTCAAATTTATATGATACAAGAACACAACTCACAATGCATCTGACAATTAGACATGTCTATTGTGGCATTGGAGACTTCAGCCTTAGATGTACTATAAGTCTTAGTAATAATTAGTTCAATACTGCACATCGATACAGTTTCTAGTCTAACAGAACAGCAGAAAATGAAAATTAAGTATGAATAAGAAAGAAGAACTGAAAGGAAGACATTGGCAGTGGAGGGCTGGGAAAGAGCAGTTTGATGTAGGTTTTGGTACAGCTGTGGACAAGACTTTGCACCACATTATTCTCACTGACACAACTCTTTGATTTAAAATTAGAATTGGCAAATGTCTTGATTGATACAGAAGATGTACTGTAGTACTTTATTGGACAAGTAATCTGTGTAAATTAAATAAATTTATATAGTGACACCTAATGGCCTAAAGTGCTACTGCAGGCAGTGTCAACACATTCATTGTGCACCTTATGCACCTGGATGCACGTATGTTGCCTTTGTGTGGTTGTTTCTTCCCTGGAGTTGATCTCCCTAGTTAGACTCCTCACCTGGTCGCTGTTTGTAACCCTGTCAGCAGCAGAAGCACTAGTCCTCGGTACACTGGTTTGGTGGTGAGCAACAGTGTGACAGAGAGTAGGGGGTGAAGTTTATTATTAATTGCAGAGCTAACAAAGCAACGTTAGTCAGCAGTGCTTTGCATTGCTGTGATTGCTTATCTTTGGCTTCCTCTGCAAAAATTAACAAACCCAAGAGTGAGATTTGTTCTTGGGAACTAGAGGGAGTCAAAAATGCAACATGATCTTAAACTGTGAGAGAAGAGAATTAAGGTCCTGAGGATATATTTTGGAGAACAGGTGGAAACGGTGAATTGGCAGAACAAACTCTCAATCCAAAATGGAAACTCATGCAGCAGAAGGACAGGGACCTCACCCTGACAGGGAAGGTGCTGGTGATTAAAGTCAAGCTCTTGCCTATCCTGAATTTTTTGGCTTCCACCTTCCCATTACCATACCATTCTGCGGTGGTGCTGAGCAGATTGATGTTTCAATATCTATGAGGTGAGAAGCAGGAAAGACTCAGGAGGGAAATAATGTACAGGTCACTACCCTTGAGGCGAAGTCTGTCCCAGATATTGCTATGAAGCTGCTGTGCATCTTCTTGGACTCTGTTTTGAGATACCTTGCAACAGCATCTGATCCGCAAACCTGGACTTATTTCACTGGGCTTTGGGTAGGTAGGGAGGTGTTCAGAGTGTGGAGTATCAGACCCAAGCTGGATGTGCCTTTCTCTGACATGTTCCCTGCACTTTTTAAGATCTCCTTCAATTGGTCATCTTCCCCTCAGAGCTATCAGTATCCAAAAAATAGATCTCGTCCAGCTTGATAACAATCAGCTGACCCCTGTGGCAATTTTAACATCAGCCCAAACAAGAAACACACAACCTCCAGGTTTCTGTGCAATGTTCACAGAGACTTAGCCTGGAGTGTTATCCACCAGTGCTGACCAATATGAACCTTCTTCAAGCCCTCCACTCTCCCACCCCCACATGATCAGATCCTCCATTTGAGACTGAAGAGATGAAATTATCTCTGCCTTACACACATTGAATTTATTTATTTATGCTTTACGTTTATTGCATAAATAAATCAATTCAATGATTTCTGTAAAACAGTACTTGCTATTCCTGGTCTTAAAGGTGTTTCATCTTAATTCCCACTTGTATCCCCAGATCTTTTTATTGCCTGAGCTTGACATAGCCAGTTGGACTCATTTTGATTTATATCATTCAGGATTGTGAACACATATGTCAAGCCCTCCACTCACCCACCCCTACATGATCAGATCCTCCATCTGAGACTGAAGAGATGAAATTACCTCTGCCTGGTACACATTAAATGTATTTATTTTATGAACAATATATTCTAAATGAGGTCGGAGAAGTGTGAGGGATCATTTTAGCTCAAATGTCTTTATTATATCTTTATTTCTTTATATCTGATTCTCCCTCTCCTCTCGTCGCTGCCCTGCGCTGAGAGACGATGTGCCTCTTCTCTCCAGCCTCACTCCATGTTGCTTTTCTCCCAGGTGACACTCGGCCCTTGTTGACAGTTCTGCCCCCCTCCAGCAGGGAGCTGTCGGAGAAGAAGTCAGCCACGCCACAGGGTCTGACCAGCAGGGGCTTCCTGTCTGGCTGGAGCCTGTAGTGGACAGTGGACAGCCCCTTCAGGACCAGCGGGGTCACCAAGACCCCCGGCCTCCTGGACACCACTGGCCTGTACAGCTGGGGCAGCACCCTGACCCTGTCCAAGGCCCAGTGGTCCTCAGTGGGCATCGTGGTCTGTGAGGCCACCCACAGCTCCCAGGCTCCTCTCTCAACACTCCTGAAGAAATCCGAGTGTAAGAAATAGCCCAGCCCAGATTCCCAGCTTCATTCCCAGCTTAGAACTCCAGATAGTGGTGTTTAACTATAACTTGTCCGTGCTGTTATTCAGAAGCAGAAGGCTCTCACCCCCTTGCCTGTGTGACCTGTCGTCTTGAGCCAGTGAGCTGCTCGTGTTAGACCCCTCTCAGAGCTCTATTCACCTCTGTGGTGTGGAAATGTTCTGTTGCTGCTAGTGACGCATCAATCAGAATAATAAAGAGTTTTTGGATCTTGAGCATCAGTGTTTTGAGTATTACTGATAAAAAAAGTGTCTTATATTGTACATCCCTGCAAGTAAACTGAAGTAGTTACTAATGATTTATTCTTCAAGACAGGCAGGGTCACGGTTCATCTATTGTCTAGGATTGTTTTTACACAGTGTGCCAATGAATAGAGTTCAGAACGAAAGTTCAGGAGGGATGACAAGAGCCAAGTTCAATCAGACTCAGCTGTCAGTAATTCAAAATCACCTCTGACCCTCACTTCCTCACCTAAAACATTATAAATACTGTATGTGATACCCCTTTCTCGCTCACATACATCTTTTACATCCCTCCTTCACCCCATCTCCTCACTCTGGTCACTCCTCACTCTGCAGGGGGGTCTCAGCCTCCTCATCCTCTGCCCAGGAGGTCATTCCTCAGCCAGGAGGGTTAAGACAGATTTTAACTGAATACTCCAGAATCCTCCAGTACTCTTAATTCTTGGGTGTTATCCCCTGTGGATATTCCCTTGTGGGTGTGCCCTGTGGTAAAGTGGGCTATGATACACACTCACACTTGACACATCCCAGAGTGAAGACTGACCCTCTGAGCTGCAGATTAAAAACTAATTGCTGTCAAATGTGTGCTGCTGTGCTGGCTACTACCTGTTAATACAAATCATGTTAGGTTAGTAGATCACTAACCTGTTGGGATAGTAGATCAGTAGTTTTAGTAGATAAGTAGATAGTAGATCAGCAATCGGTCATTTACATGTACATGCTGAAAGCTCTTCTGTTAGCCAGTTTTAAAGAATGAAATGTGTTTTTGAAATTTGATTGTGTCTGATGTTCTTCAGTGTGTTCTACAGCATTGACCCCAGACTAAAACCCAATTTGCAATGTGACTCAATGGTTCTAAGACCCTGTTTTGTTTTTTTTGTATGAGGTCATTACAAGCACCTCAATGAAAAAACGTCACACTATTCACAGCTACACTGAAAAAATACATACACCTGTCTTAACAAAATTGCAGTGAAAGAGGTGCCAGGCAATATTTTTAGAGCAGCAAACAAAACATCAGCTTTGCTATATAAGAAATAGATTTACAGAATTTTACAGTGCAACTTCTTCCAACCTGAGAAGGCTAACCTGTCTGGAATACTTCGTATGTATGATTCAGAAACTAAACATTAATTAAATCCTTCACCCTTTCCAGTTTTAGCCTTGAAACTTGAGAGTTTATCATTTTTCCAAACAAGGATTCGAGGATACATTAAGAAAGCATGAGACATCTTTTTTCACAAACAATTGTGAAATCTATCTAGATTTTTCACATTCTTTGTTTTTTTTGTAACACTGAATATTTATCTTGATCACAATTTTTGTTAGAAAACAATTTGTTTCCATGTGAGAAAAATTATAGCTTTTCACCACATCATGCTGTAACATCTTGTACATCACTATACAGTATGTACACATACAAAATAGAAGATCAAGCCTTTTACAATCTCTCCTCCAAAAACAGACAGTATCAATTGAAGTTCACGGACAATG